GCGCCCAATTTATCTTCGCGCCGCTCCAAGTTTCAGTGTTAAAAACGTAAACGTTTCAGTGTCAAAAAGCGCGCGAAATCTCCAAAATATCTCCGCTAATAATCATAGTATTTTCAAGGGAAAGGAGGTAAAATAACAAAGTGGGTAAGACGACAATATACCAATTTTTCCAAGTTAATAACAAATAACGAGTTGATGCCCAACTCATTAGATGCTTTCGATACAATAATAAATAATCTGTTATAATTTGACTTTAATCTATCAGCAACGGTAGATAATATAATAAGAAATGTAATTTCGGATACACCTATATGTAATTTTTTGGTGTTTCTTCATAAAAAATTACACAATTATAGTAAATATTTTCGCTTGCTATTTACAAAACTATTGTATAATATATCTAAAAACACATATAATAACATATAATAACGTATTATTATTTTTCTTTTTTATATACTGCAATTTTTTTTTCAAATGGATAAATATAATAATTCATAAAGTAAGGTGACGAATATCATGTGCGAGTAAAATAAAACACATTCATACATTTTATATTTTATTTCAAATTATATATTTGTTATTATTGTTAAAAGTCGACGAACCTTAACACTTTGTGGTCCGCGGCCCACCCGAAGGCATAATACACAAGTAGCCGTGCTTATTTGGTTGATTTTCTTCTTATACAAATGTTGATATCTACAAAACTATTGAACCTAGCGTATTCAAACAACTTTTATCATGAAGTTCATTCTTTTCTCTATTATTAAACACCATAAAAATTAACTTTTCTATGAGAGCTTTACTTTCTGAGACCATCAATATCATGGTCTATTTTGAGCTGGAAAAAAGTCAAACTAGATACAATCGACTTTTTAAGCGCATAAATTATATCAAGAGGATTAATAAAAGAATAGAAAACATACTTCTCTTCTCGTTTACATGTGCAAACTCGTTTACTTGCAAACATTGTTTTTTCTCCGCGGATATAAATTAATATTCTCATCGTCTGATGATTCTGACAAAATTCGTCGAGGAACTGTCGATCGACTTGAATCGAAAAACTAGCTCTGAAAGAACCATCTTTAACACTTGGAGCGATCGTCAATTGTTTTGACATAGCTATGAATCGCTATTCATCTGTTTTGCATGTTGCCAGTTGCTTAAAATCCCATTTGTTTCGATTTATAGATAAAACCAATGTTGCCAGATCGCAACGGCACAGTGCCGTCGACGGACCGCAAAGTGTTAACCTCGTCATCTTATTCCCCTCTCTCCTACGTGGCGTAGGTATCGCATCCAATGATCTTTATTCACTTCCTCCCATTTGAATCGTGCTTGCAAACGTAGCAACGCGCACTCTTCAATGTGCGAAAAGCGCGGCAACGTGCATGTAACCATATCGTATATCGCAGCAAACTTGTCTCAGTGCTCTCGAAATTATTCACAATTCTTTTTACCCGCTTGACGATCGTGCGGAAAACGAGAGCGTGCCAAAAGCAGCAAGATGCTCGACAAAAGAAAAAGAGTGAAAAAGAAGAAGCGGGACATCTTTATCGACTATGATCTGCGGCATATTATGCGAGGTCTTGGAACTTAAAGATCTGGAAAATCAGCGACCGTAAAGTTTGCTCGGTCGCAGTTACCCTCTCTTGAATATGTAAACGCGATGCCGTTATTCGGAAAGGTAATTTCGTCGCCATGATTACGGCTGAAATTGTTATTGCGCCTCTCTGCCACAAATAAGCGTTGTACGACCCATCGTCTGCGATTGGAATTATTTTCGTATGTTTCGCAACGAAATGTTGGCCACTGCGTCTGCCGACGTGTAGCAAAAGCGGTTGGCATGGTCCTTAAAACATAAAAAGAGTGCAAAGCGGGAGACTGTGATCAGCTCGGATATTAACCCTCCACCGGCAACATGAGTCTTTAAAAGTCCTATTTATTCTTTGATTGTAGATTCTAAAATGATTAATAGATGGTACGATCCGATATTCACATCTAAAAAAACTTAGAGATAATGAGATTATATGTGGGTAAAGACGCCAATCTCCAGCTGTTCGTTTTCTAATAAAAACGGTTAAAATATACGTTTGTCTCCTCAGATTCAGATCACAGATGGCGTAAATATTTTTGCAAATTAATAATTTGGATTTTTTTCGTGTTTTATATACTCTTAACACTAATTTCAATGAATATATACAAATTTTGCTTTTAAAACAGATTTTTCAGTATTTTACGTTTTTTTTATTGAATTCAATAAATATATAAAGATTTTTCTTTGTAAATAGATTATTTAATGTTTTCTATATATTTTTTTTATAAAAGAAAACTACACGAAAAAAACAGCCTAATTAACCAACATAGAAATCGGGTGGTGCCAACCAGATGTAATAGTAATATATGAAACAACTAATTATATGGTTACTGCAACCACAATATAATTGTTGAGTGACATGTGTTGCAGCAGTAACAGTATTTGATTATTTCAACTTTGTTGATATTTCAACTACAAATGTTTTAACGGCAACTGCATCATTTGATTGGTTTAGATAAGATGTCTTGCAAATACAAACATAAAATAAATTATAGTCACCTGCTAATCGCGAAAGCTGTTTTATTAGCTGTTTTATACTTCTTATTTTTTTCTCATGCTGGTCACCCCATCTCATCTTAGTACATGATCGCTCTCACTTCACTTCGGTGATCGGACGACAAGCAATAAATCCAACGGCTATGCCATCTCTGTGTTTACTAAAATAGTGAGTTACCTTTACCTTTGTTTTCTAACGTCGCTGCTTTGCTGTACGGCCTTCCCAACCAAGTTCTTGTTGCCATTACCAAATCACGCGCAATTACATTGATATAGTTGACACACCAAAATGATAGGTCGCATCAACTATAAACATATCTATCAAAGATAAGTAGGGTGACGTATCTATATGTTGTTTACAACTAAATATTTCTAGTTATGCGAACTATATAAATATATTTTTTCTTCCGTGTAGGTATTGCTGTGCATTTTATGATAAACTAGTATGGGAAAAATACCGATTGTACTACATAAATATTTTTATTGTATTTTTTTTTGTATTTTTGCGTATGTATATTAATTTTGACAAAGATAAACCGAATTTAACGATTAATCTGCTATAAAAATGATTTTACTAATTCTTTTCCTGGAATGAAACTTTATTTTCCTTCTCCCAAAAATCTTTATTTTCAGATGTCCAAATAATATTATTTTTTGGAATCAACATTATTATACTTTTTTTCGAAGTATACACTCTCGAGTATTATAGTCTAAAAGGATTTATTTTTTTGTTCACTCATATAAAAGTTAAGAAATTTTTAACGAAATCCCGTTTTTTCGTTGTTTCTGAATTTTCGAATTCCGTTCCGAATTCAATCTAAAAAATAATGAAAATACAATTCGATTTCTACGATTGTTAAAACCTATTATTACAGCTTTCAAAAGTGTACGAGAATTTTTTTCTAGATTTTTATATAGTCCGTAACAATGTGAAAACCTATATTATTATCCTTTACAGATCCATACTGCAGACGAAAGGTACTAAATTACATGTTGCCGACTAGGAGTTAATATCAAAAACGGAGATTAAATTTCGCGGCAAAAGAAAGTCCTGAGGTCTGCTTAGACTCTTTACTGCTCTGACGGTGCCAGTTCGCAATGCGATATCTGTGCAATACGTCGCAACATGCAAATACTGATCTGAAAATATGTGCGCTACGTACTAACTAGTACATACATTAAACCCGGTGACATCGATTTACTCTACTTCTTTACGTCCGCGCACGGCCATCCAAAAGGTTTATTTCGACTTGATTATTCCGCAGCGAAAGAAACTTGAAATTCAATTAGGAGTCGTTAGTAAGAGTCGCGGATAGACTGCGAAATATTCTTTCTAATCAATTAAGCGGTACCTTTCTTTCTGTTCGCGACCTTCTGCAAACTCCGTTCGACTTTTCACTAAGCTGTAATATTTCTCGGTAATTCCGTCATTTCGGTCTTACTTGATTTTATTCAATCTCAGAGTAAGAGAGATTTCACTTTATTAACAGCGATATGCTATTGAGTTTATGCCGTCGTTCCTTTGTAAGTCGGCGTGATGATTATTTTCCTATATTACTTCTTTTGTAACTAAAAGGTACATCTTGGAAGGATCCTCTTTGATCGCACAGTATTAATATGCGCATCACTCTTTCCTCTCGTCTCCTATCTTTTATTTATTCGTCGCTCCGGGAGTATTAGAAGAGGGGATACAATATTCAGCGTAATTTCGCTCCCGTATTTTTATAGCTCGCTGTTTATCAACTTTGCAACACAGTGCATTTGCAATGCGCGCCGATTTGCATCTTCCAACGTGGGACTATTTCTACTCGTATGTTGGTTTGTTCGGACTATACGATATGTTTACAAATACATTGGAGAGGCAAATTTAGCACCGTAAAATAATTAATAAAATCTTATATAGGAAATATGAAAATTTACACATCGGTCCTGTCCTCCGGCTTTGTTTTCACATTGCAACTGCTCTCACGTGTCTCAATAATTTCGATAATCATCTGTCGACAATAAGAACCAACACGACGCTCGAATTTCAACTTACAAACCGTTATACTTCGAGCGCGCAATTGATGTTTACAACTAACAGGATAAAAATATGAGCTACATTCGTAGGCATGGATACGCAAGGACGAGTGTTCATACGACAGCATTTCTGCTATTTCCGCGCGCGCTGATTATAACTCCGGCTCGGCATATAAGCGCGTCCGTGTGTATCAGTAAATATATATTATGTACGTCTATAGATAAATGTCGGCTCTTCTCTGTATTCTGCTACACCGTGCACCGTCCTATTCTACTCGACTCATAACGGCGGCCTTCGCGGCACAAGCAAGCCAGGCAGCGCTACCCACCGGGGGTAGTTTGAGGGTTGATCGATCCACCGGTTGCGCGCGCGCTCGTCGCATGCGCGATACCAGGCCGCCGACACGCCGTGAGTTGCCACGCACCGCGAGGGATAGAAACGCCGGGACTGATAACTCGTGTATCCAGATCCGTAAATAAACCGGCCACTTCTTTTTTTTACGGTGCCCTCCGGTGCCCCGCACGCTGCTGGAAAGACTCGGGCGCGGGTGTGGTCGCGCGCTCCCGGCGCTCATAGGCGGGCGTTCGTTCGTTCGGTCGGTGGGTCGGTCGGTCGCACGTTCGACCGAGTGTCATCGTCAGCACCGTCGAATCGCGCGCACGGCGTGCGTCGTCGACTCGTTCGGACGTACCGTCGATGGTACCGACGGCGGCGGATGTACGGTGAGCGTCAACCCGCGTCGGCCGACTTCGCCATCAGGCTGCCGCCAAGCGGGGAAGAGGTCTGTCTCGCGTGCCAGCACACATCAATGGTTCAGGTGAGTGCGCCTTGTGCGAAAACGGAGGTATGAGGGTGGGTGACGGTGGCGGCCGCGATTGCTCCGGAGGGCAAAGGCAGCACGCGAGTGCGCGTGTCGCCGCGCAATGTGATTCGCCGTAGTGCTACGAGAGACGTGCTACCTGGCTCGTTGTGTCGTCGCCGAGAACGTCAGCTGTGAGCGACGATAAGCGGCGCACCGAGAAAGAAAGAGAGAGAGAGGAAGGGCGAGAGATGTCGCCACTTGATGAGGACGATGCTAACGATGCTTCTCACGTGCTCGCGGAAGTAGCCGCGGCTGGTCAGTTCACATTTTTTTTCTTTACGCCCGATTAGATCCGCGATGTAGATTTGGGGCTTGTCGATAACGGTTTGTTGTATTCGTAAAGGAAGTTTCCTGTTCCGGTAGTTCTTCATTTATACAACGTATTCCGGGCTATTTATGATATTGGTAATTGTGCCACGCAGCTCTCTTATTCATAATTTATGACGTTGATATAGCCTTCCTATACAGGCACGGATATATGTTTCACTCGTGATAGACGTCATACGTTATCTACTTCCACTGTTGTAGATAGCTACCAAGGTCGGTATGTGTATACTTGCGAAATTATAAACGGAGTCGAAAATATCTACCATTCCTAAGAAATCACGCGCTTAAGCGATAATGATGTTATAACATTCTGTCGGATATTAGATATTTTGCTTGACGATCTTGTCGATGTGACAAAGAGTAGCAAGATAACATGAAACATAATATAGTAAAATATAATATAATAGATTACATCAAAATAATCGGGTATTTATTTTATTAAAAATTCTTTGAATTGGAAGTTGACTTTTCCATTTATAAAATTTCGAAGTGTCGAGTTTTCGAGCTATTAACTGTTGTAAGGACTTCTGCGGTAGACTTCAGGACAAAACCGTATCTCTTTGATTAGTCTCTAACGAGCCCCACTTTCAATAAAATTTTAATTCATAGCTGATACACACGAAGATTAAAAAATAGTAAGATAAAAGATAAAATATTTTCCCTGAAGAGTGGTTGAAAAAAAGCTGCGATTAAATTGAGCACGTGATAGCCCGGTACTTCTCATATAATGAAACGAGCGCGGAATAAGCGTCGAATGAAACGAAAAAAGATCTCGATAAATCCATCTTCCCCTTTAGAGCTAATAAAATCGCGAATACACGGACAAGAAGTATCCGATAGTTTAAGACTCGAGCGCTGTGAGGAGCGTTAATATACGAGACGTCTCCCGTAACTACAAAATACAATTCCTACACGGTACCGGGCCTCTTGTGCTCGCACGGCCATGAAAATCGCACTGTATTTTATCGAATACTATTAATCCGCAATGGCGGTCCTGAGGTGGTCCACTGGGAAAGTAGGGGTGGAGGCGAAACGCGCACCGTAAACCGTCAGCTCGGCCCTGCAGTGGCCCTTTATGTAAATGGATAATGGTTCTACAGCGGTTGGCTGGGTTCCTAGACGGCGAGTACGTTGCGACTGCCGAAGGGCAGTTCATTAACTGCCAGACTCCGGTTCGATGAGGCAGCTTCGGGAGAAGAGAGAGAGGGAGAGAAGAAGGGTGGGAGGGAGGGAGGGAGGGAGAGAGAGAGAGAGAGAGACGGAGAAGGGGGAGATAGTGATAGAGAGAGTGAGAGAAGCGAACGGCTTTGAAGTGGCGGCCGCCTCGCGGGCGTCTGACGCGGAACAACGAGAATTATCTTCTATTTCTCTCCGTTCGCCTCTCGCAGCATCCATTTATGCCCATCCGTGCCTTAATGCGCGCATCCATACAAGGATACCTGATTGGCTGTTGATTGGGATGCTTCAGGCAAGGCAATAATCACTTCGGTGTCCGATACTTATGAAAGCTGTCTTAATGAATAGACGCGGAGAAGTATTGATACGCGCTTTCCTATTCATCTCGCATTATCGCGGTTTGATAATATGCAACCGCGACGATTAAGGATCAGCGTACGTATATTACCCGTAGCGTCCCATAAAATACAGAGTGAGAACAACTCGTAGGCATCTTTTCATTGGCTTACATTCTCAAGACCTTTAAAATAGCGTACGAACTAAAGTGTAGCGGAACGCACATATATTCAAAGAATGATAAAATAAAACATCAAAAAACAAAGATAATCGTATACTTTATTTATTATAAACATAAAACTCTTTAATTTTGACGTTATTTTGAAGTTAAGGAGGGAATCACTTATATTGAAAAAAAAAGATGATATTATAGTAAGTATTATAGCTGCCTTAATATCTCTGCTATTATTAGGTGATGGATTCTAGCGATTATTTATGGAATTATTTTTTATTTAGTAACTCGCCGTTACACAGTGACATTAATATGCCAATACATAATAACCGGAATTTGCTATAACATTTTTACTTTCCAGTATTTCGAAATGTTTTAAGATACTTTTTCAGCATTTAATTACAAATACTTTCTCATTCTTATTAAACTTGGGGATCACACAAATATACTTGAGTGTTTTGTTCATTATTTAACATTTTATTCCGCTGCACACATTTCCAGTTATGCAAAGTTAAATATAATAGCATAACATTTTGCTAATTTAATCCCCAATTAATATAGATTTAATACGGCTTCTTTTCTGAGGTTTTCACGTCGAAATACTTATTCGGTAATAATTCAAATTAACCCTTTGGGTACATTTGACGAGTGAGACTCGTCATCTGCTTACTTGGGCATAAAATGTATTACTTTTACATATTAATCCATATAGCGACAAATTAAATCCGTCCCATGAGCATAAAAATCTTCAAATAATTCAGTACTCAAAGGGTTAAGCTTAAAAATCTATTCGTTTTGTAAAAATTTTCTCTTTGACAATTTGTATCTATTTTCTGACAAATAAACCAGTATCTATATTAAAAATTCACGATTATATTCATTGTTGTTGCTTCTAACAGAGCTTAATTTGAATAAATATATAAATTTATAACAAAATATTGTTTCTTTAAACAAAACCAACTTTTTAAATCTATTTTAGTGAAGGGTATTATTATCATACCTGTCCTTTTTCTGCCCATTTATGCAGTGTCGCCATATTGTTATAAATAACGTTCTAAGTAATAAATATTTCATAACTTTGAGTCTAGAATAGATTGAACAATACTTTGACAACAATATAACCATTAAGTTTTAATCTAAGATATTAATTATTAACAAAGTTATTACAAAATGTAAATAGGGGCTACAAGACTATTAGGTGCTTGAATTAATTTTCGCTGTTGACTAATAGAGGTCAGTAGTTGTGCTATTTTAACATAGCCAAAAGTGACTGTTGACATATATGAAAATACTATCAATAGGCTTTAATAATCATTGTGTGACACTAGATTGTAGTACAAAGAACACCATTTTTTATTATATTGAAGATGTCGGGTTTCATGCCAAAAAAAGAGCATTTGCGGGAAACATAACTTTTCTGCTCTCATCTCAAGAAATCTGCCGCTGAAAGTCATCGTTTGCTAATGGAAGCTTATGGGGAGCATGCTTTATTTATAACAATTTACAGAGATTGGTTTATACGATTCAAAGACTACGATTTTGATGTGAATAACAAAGAGCGCATTGGTCAGCCGAAAAAGTTTGAAGATGAAGAATTGGAAGTATCACTGGAAGAAGATTCAGACGCTCAAAGAGTTGTCGGAAACACGAAATATCGATGAGTCAACCGTTAGCAAACGTTTAAAAGCAATGGGAATAATCCAGAAACTAGGAAACTGGGTTCCACATAAATTGAGAGAAAGAGGTATTGCGAAATGTTTAACTATTTGTGAATTGCTGCTTCAAAGACAAAAATAGAAGTCGTTTTTGCATCGAATTGTAACTGACGATGAAAAATGGATTCGTTACGACAATCTTAAGTGCAAGAAATCATGGATGCGTCCCAGCGAACAATCAACATCAACGCCAAAATAGAATATTCATGGAAAGACGGTCATGCTGTGCATTTGGTGGGATCAAGTTGGTATAATATATTATGAGCTGCTGCAACCGAGTCAAACCATCAATGCTGAATGTTACCGACGATAATTACTCAATTTGAATCGAGCACTCAAAGAAAAACGCCAAAAGACATGACAAAATTAATTTTTTCCATGTCAATGTTAGACCACATGTTGCAACACCAGTGAAGGAAATCTTGGAGGCACTTGGATGAGATTTCTTATCTCATCCGCCCTATTCACCAGACGTTGCTCCTTCAGATTACCATTTGTTTCGGTCGATGCAGTATGGCCTCTGAGCAGCACTTCAGTTCTTTCGAAGATATTAAAAAATGGCTCGATGACTGGATCGCCTCGAAAGAACCTGAATTTTTCTACTGCGAAATCCATGTGTTACCTGAAAAGTGGGAAAAGGTTGCAACTCTCGAAGGACAATACTTTGAATAATATATAATGTACCGTTCTTTTGAAAAAACATGAGTTTTTGTAGCAAAAAACAACGAGAATTAATTCAAGCACCTAATACCTTTTTTCTATACATTTTATAGTCTCATGAGAAAAATGTTATATTTCCAGTTTCACACATTATTTACTAAGGTAATTAAATATTTTGCTATTTATTTCTTACCTCCCCCTTCTTTATATCTTCTTTAATAATAAAAGCTCTAAATTTTATAATACTTTCTTCTGTCATTATTCACTTATCTCCACTACATATATATGTAATATTGAGTAACTTTTGTTCGAATGTCTAGACTGTATTCTATGGACATTATTTTGGCGTATCTTCTTACGCCACCTTTCATGAGAACCTTGCGTTACGTAAGCCAATCAATCGTACAGCAATGCACAAAGAAAAACGTAGTATAAGATTAGATGTTTATGATAATTGGAGTCCGGGTTAATTCCACTAGGACCGAAAAATATGATAAGCACAATCACCCAATGAACATTCCAATTAACAATAACATAACATTAATGTTATAATTTCTCATTCAACAATA